ATTTAATTTAATACGTCAAAAGAGTAATAATCATAAAAATACAGATCTTTTATTGCTTCTTTTCCACAGCTTTCTTCTGCTTCTTCTCCATTGTTACCATTGCCTTTTCAAGTTATAATGCTTTCTTGCTTCCAACCCTAATAAAAATAACCACAATAGAGAGCTTAACGACGTGTTTGGGGTATCATCCAAACCATTTGTGGGAAAGTTTACCCATCCGGGATAAAGTTCGTTCATGGTATTTGTTTATTAGGGAACTTTCTTTGCTCTTCTTCCTTTTCTTCCTCGTCTTCCTCTCTCGCTCAACCTTTTTCTTTTGTCGTTCCTCAATCCTTTGTTTCTTTGCGTTCTCTTTATCAATTTTCGCCCGCACTACTTTCATGTGTATTTCCGGTCATTCCTCGCTGGTAGACTACTGCTGGGAATGCTCTCTGGCCCATTTCTGTCTGCTCTCTGTAAGGGAGCATCCAAAAATGACGTAGCATATTTTTGATCAATTTTATACTCCTCCCCCCCCCTCGTAGCGTATTTGGCTTTATCCAATACATGGCCGGTCACAAATTCTGAAACCTTCACCTCCCCCCTCAAATGCTACGTCATTTATGCATGGTCCCTAATTTGTATATGCGTGTTGGTGATATCCTGTAGGGGAGCTGCGTTGTTTTACTTTCCGGCTGGTTCTTGACGCTCTTCATTAAAAGATATTAATAATATAACGTTTACAATACGAATAAAATAAGAGTGTAGCGATTCAATACGGCATCTCTTATGGTGGTGAATTGAACGGCAAAATCCCTGGATGCTTCTCGGTAAGATTTCTCCGCACGCATCATTGCCACAGTCTTCTCCAAATCCTCCGGCGTGTATTTAGTTTCCATAATCTGCTGAAAAACATTGGATAAAGTAGAATCGTCATTAGTGATGCACAAGTGTACGGATTTAGAATCAGCTGTTATATATGGATCGAAATCCGTACAGTACTAATTTTGATAAATAAATACCATATGAACGATCCATTGCTTAGAATTGAGATATAAAACGATAAACACTAACCTTTTCGATCGACCTTCAGGAAACTACTTGCAAACATCACTGAAATACGCTTAACAAACTGAAGTAAATCCGAGAGATTTTCTTAGAAAATCGTTAAGAACGCAACCGATTGACAGAAATGCCCGACACGTGTTAAGGTTTTTATTTTTCTTATTTTAATTGCATGACATTCTGCTTAATTGTTGACGTAAACATTAAGCTAATGCATGAATGAACATGTATATGTATTCATGTATAATATTTACATTGATATGATGCATATAAATAAACAAATTCAACAGGGTGTACGGATTTCGGTGCTGTACGGATTTCGGTCCCGCACGGTATATCAATACGATCAAATGCTTTGCTAAAATCGGTATAGAGTGCTTCTACATGGTTTCCATTATCCATTGCAACCAAAGAATAGTTGACGAATTCAAGTAAATTTGTATTAGTTGATCGTCTTTTGAAGAAACCATGTTGCATGTTAGTGATTCTGTTTTTGATCTGATCGAATAGTTTTTCTTTGACGATCGCTTCGAAAAGCTTTGGGATACAGGAAATAATAGCAATTCCTCGGTAATTTTGTATGTCAGATTTTTTGCCACTTTTGAAAATAGGCACTAGAAAAGAGCTTTTCCATGTTTTTGGGAAGATTCTAGAATTATACCTGTTTACCCTACATTCGTATTTTGGTGCGTTCTAGGATATTACGGTTGCGCTATTGATATATTTTTCGAGTCTGGATCTCCCTCTTAGATTTTCACCAGTAGGTGAACTAATCGTGGTTTATTTTTTCAAGTTCACCGATAGGAATATTCCATGTTCAAAAATGTATTCGAAAAGAAAACCAATCTGGCTCGCCTATTTACATATGCTCCAGCCAGGTATACAGAAGCCTTTGCCTGCATTCCATCTGCTTGAATGTCTTTATTAGGGTGGCCCAACTGTACAGCCCACGGTTCCCTACTGCCTTTTAGACAATTATGCCAAATTTCATCGGATTTGGTTGCAATATGTAAAATATTAATTTGACTGTCAAAAATTCACACATTGCTCATTATTGTTGATACTTGAGAATTATATATTCTTTCGACAAAGTTTTGGAAGTTGTTTTATGTTTACAATTGAAACTGTGAAACTGCGAAATACGCCGCCGAAAAGCTTACAGAATTCTGTATACTTTGACAACTTACCAGACAAACCTAACAGAAACTGAGAGCTCGGTAGTATCAACTTTTAGCCGAGATGATCGCTGAGTGCTCTGTTGTTATAATCTCGGTTATTTCATTACCGACTGGGTTGAATGTGATAGGCAAACTGAATAAGCAGAACAAATATGTCCAAGACTTATTCGAATCCTTTGCAAAAAGTTACTTGCAGTCGTCGATACGAAAGCGAATTGCGCTTTTTTTACATTTTGATTTGCAGAATTTGTCCAAGAGAAGTCTCATGTATGGGTATTACCCATTGGGTAATATTGATGAATGTGTGACTTTTTGACAAGCGTTTTTTTTTTTAATTTGCGTTATATCGATGACTATTTGTAGTCTTCGGTTATATACAGCCATTCCATAGCAAAACGATAAAGTGGTTCTCAGAATTACGTAAAAATTGGTATTTTTGTGCCTTATCGCAAAATATTGGCCGAGTATATTTTTATTATTTTGTCATTAGGGTTACCATTTACATGTTAGGGTAGTTTAATTCATTCAAATATGGCACAGTTGTTGGAGGCCTCAATACAGATCGAAAGCCATGAACGTTACCCACCCTAGTGTATTTATTATGGAGAGAAATGGTACATACAAAAAAATGCAGCTTATCTTTTTGAGCATACACCGGTTTACCTGACATGGCAGAGGCAGCAGCTGGAGACGTTTCTAGTTCAGAATCATATGGTTGCCACATGATTGTCGCATGATTACCGCATGATGGCCACATGATGTACCTGGTATGCATTTCCGAAAAGGACAAACTATAACAAAACAAAGGTTGGTGAAGGATCTCAAAGGATGAATTTTCCAAGCGGGATTCCTAAATGAAGCTCTAAAACTTGCGACAGGAAACAAGCGTCTAAAATTAAACAAAATGTTGCCACCATGAAGAAAAACTGGGTCGGATATTTTGTGGTCCCTCCATATTTGTGGTAGACTTGTTGCATCTTTATCACAGTTTATGCGTATTAAATATTGATGTATTGCAATTTAAACATAATGTTAATAAACGTACGCTTTTACCAGATATAAGTGTGCGAAGGACATCAAAACGATTAAACGTAGTAAAAGCGTGCTAACTCAACATCAGTACTTACTGATCGTAAATCGATGATTGTAACTCTCAGAGATCTAAATTGGCAGATTGTATGTGTCAAACACATACTTTAAAACGTCTTCTTGTAACTAACAAGTTAAAAATAACATCTAATGATTTCATAATAAATTCTCAAATACATTTTAATAGCGAAATGAGTGGAAGCAACCTTGCTTCTGATAGTCTTAACACATCCGAATCTCACCAGCATTATAATAAAATTGATTGCAATACTTTCCAGTAAAGCTACATAATAACCATTGACTTGCACTGTTGATGTAGACGTTGGAACGCCTGATTTATAAAATGCAACCTTAATGTTTAATATTTATTCATGGAACCTATGTACGTATGGGGAAACTCATTCAGTTCTATCCTTAATATGTAAAATGAATACCCTCATTTTCTAAGCGCTTTTGAACTCAACTTTTATCAGAGATCTCAACAGACGAAGCATACAGAAATATTCTCTCCCAAACTAAACCAATTTCCTCGCGCATTTCGCTCTCTGCACCAGCGATGCCAACATTCCAGTTTTAACTGGAAGCATCCAGCCAATCTTTGAAATCTCCAAGTTTTTTTTTTTTAATTCATCCAGATTTTTCCAATTACTTTCAATATTGTTTTAAAACATGTGCTGAAATGTGATTGACGATACAGAATAGTTAAGAAGCCGAATTTGACATTTGGAAGCGGAATAATTTTTAATCACATTCAAAACTACAACTCTTTGGTAAAATTATTTTAATGTTTGCTATAGACAAATGGTTCAATATCATATAAATTGCTATAACCATTAGAACGTTGTAGAATTTTTCACCAGTCGTTGATGTAGTTTAGTTATTCAGTCTATGCAATTTTAAACATTTTTTCCATAACCTGACGTAAAGTTCAGCCATAGTGGTTGGTTAAACTAAATATCGTATGATTACGTAAATTACGGTCGTCGTACAATTATTACATTACAAATTAATGTGTTGAACAGTTTCAAGGTCGAGATTTTAAGAAAACGGAGTAATAAATTGTAGATTTTTTAGGGAGAGGTTAAATATAACCATCTTTTCTCGAAACTCTAGAAGAAAGAATCTCATAGTATACATTTTAATTCTACTACTGTTGTATCACTTTTACTTTCACTAATTTACTTTCACTAATTTACTTTCACTATCACTTTAAACTATAACAGATACGTATTTCGTTTACTGACTTGAAAATTTCTTCAGTGTCTAGTAATAGACTAAGTCTAAGTCTATGACTAGACACTGAAGAAGTTTGTAAGTAGTAAACGGAATACGATCCTGTTATAGTTTAAAGTGATAGTAAAAGTAAATAGTGAAAATATTTTTTTCACCTAAATCGTTGAAGGTGCGCTAGTAATGACAAACGATTTTCTTAAGCATAATGAAATGCATATATTCGTAAGAAAATGCAAATTTGATGAGGATCCAGTTTTTTTTGGGTAGCATTTGTCCAGTTATTTTAAGAAAACTGTTTGCAACACTGCTCTGCGCACTGCTCCTGCTCATGCTCTGTCGAATGAACTCGAGTACAGTATTTATCAGTGCTGGCGGGTAAAACTCACCGTATATGCGATCATTCCAGTACCTGGCTAGCAACCGTATGGAACGAAGTGACCGAGAGTGATCGAATTTATTTCAATCAATCAGTGCAGCAACTATAAAATCGATAACAACAATGTCTAACGTCCCAACAAGACTTCGTGATTTGTTGACCGATGCCATGGCCACTCCTCAACGTCTATCCCATCTGTTGGTGAAAGCTTTGGGCGGTAGCGTCCTTCCGGAGGATCATCCTCTGGGGTTGGGCCATCGCTATCGTACAGACTATAATCACCCACTGCAGGAAATAATCAAAAGCAAGGACGAAGTAAACGAACAGGACCTACACCAGCTGGTGAAGCTTAGCAAGGATGGCTTCCTGGCCAATGTTGACGTTTCGCATTTCATTCCGGAAGAGATCACTGTGAAGCATGACGACGGTTGGATTACGGTCGAGGGAAAGCATGAGGAGCGTCCTGACGATCATGGTACCGTGTCGCGACATTTCGTTCGAAAGTATCGACTGTCGGAGGGACACGACACGGATAAGGTGCTCTCGACGATTTCATCCGACGGAGTGCTAACAATCAGGGCACCCCGATTGGCCATGAAAGGATCGGGAAAGGAGTGCAAGGTTTCAGTGGTGCAGCCGGGCAAACGTGCCAAAGCCGATGGGGAACAGGACGAAGCCATACAGCGGAACGATGCCAAGAAGGTTAAGCAGTGAAGTAAGCCGTCATTTCTTTAATGTGGTTTAGACAACTCAGCGTTTGGGTGTGCATTCTTTTAATAAAAATTGACTGATTGAATAATTTGTCCCTGGATTTTTGCATTAAATTGATCCGAAAAACAAACAAAAGCAGAATTGCTCTTGTTAGATAATTTTTATGCCGTTGTTTATGGGTTCTTCCAGCAAGCATTTATATTTATGTTCATAGCCTTTTTTAGATGAAAAAATCTGAATAATTCAGTGCCAACATTTCATTTCGGTGAATCTGCTTTTGTAAATAATGACTTTAAGCGTCTATTTCTCGCAAATTAAAGCAAACTGCTGCAAATTAACGATTTCAGCTGGAAAAGCTACATGATGATCAATCCAAGTAACCATAGATACACAGGAGTGGAACTTCGGATCAGAAAAAGGCTCCATCTGTCATTTGCGAACACTATTTCACCTAGCGGTAGAAGGCATCTTCTGCCTGCAGTTAAGATAGGCAGCATGCTATGATAGTGTGAGTGCACATAGAAAGCCCGTGTTGAACGCTACCACAACACATTGCTTGTTCCACTTTACATTATGAAATTAGTTCAAAATTATTTAACTGACAGAACTCTGCAGGTAAATTATCAAAATTCCACATCTAATCGACTACCTGTTAGAGCAGGAGTTCCTCAGGGTAGCATTCTTGGGCCTATATTGTATAACATTTTCACTTCGGACCTCCCTGATTTGCCTCAGGGTTGCCACAAATCTTTGTTCGCTGATGACACAGGCATTTCCGCTAAAGGAAGAAGTCTCCGTGTTATTTGCAGCAGACTTCAGAAAAGTTTAGATATTTTCTCTTCTTATTTACAAAAATGGAAGATTTCTCCCAACGCTTCCAAAACTCAACTTATAATATTTCCACACAAGCCTAGAGCTTCGTTTTTGAAACCTAGTAGTAGTCACATAGTCACTATGAACGGAGTTCCAATTTCCTGGTCAACCCAAGTGAAATATCTTGGATTAATACTTGACCATAAATTAACTTTTAAAGATCACATTGAGGGCATTCAAGCCAAATGTAACAAATATATAAAATGTTTGTATCCTCTTATAAACAGGAAATCCAAACTTTGCCTGACGAATAAACTTCTAATATTTAAACAAGTTTTTAGACCGGCCATGCTTTACGCTGTGCCAATATGGTCTTGTTGTTGCACTACCAGGAAAAAAGCACTTCAAAGGATTCAGAACAAAATTCTGAAGATGATTTTGAAGTTGCCTCCCTGGTACAGTACTACCGAAGTACATAGAATTTCGAATGTTGAGACTTTAGCACAAATGTCCAACAAAATAATTAATAATTTCCGGCAAAAATCGTTACACTCCTCAATTGCAACGATTAATTCCCTTTATACTTAGATAAGATTTAGTTTTAGTTATTTAGTTTTAAGCTATCAATTGTTATACTGACATGCAGGTTTAAAAAACCTGTTTAAAATACTGAATTGCCAAAACAGGAACAATGTAAAAATACTTAGATATATATCATAACAATTAAGGCTGGTAAGTTACTGTAGTAACTGGAGCACCTAGGTTAAAAATGAAATGTAATTTATTTTGAATTTGGAATAAATAAAGAGTTAAAAAAAAAAACACATTGCTTGTTGAGCAGAAAAACGAACTACTTTTTGATTTATTGATTTGTTTGCACCTCCCCTTCTGTTCTGTGACAGATAAACATGTTATTTTAATTGTAAACCAATATAAAGAAATTTGAGCATTTTTGTTTGATATCAAAACGATTGTTTAGAATATAAAATGAAATATGATGTAATTTTGTTAAAAATCTTCGTTATCAATTTCAAAATATTGTCTTTTTCTATTCAAAATAGCACTTATCGTTTTAATTATATCTCAAGTTCAATCCAAAGGTTTGTTTTGAAATGACTTAAATTCTTGCGTCACTTTTGAAAATTTCCTAATTAACAAATGTAAATAAATCGAGTCAAGTGATACAAACTATTGTTCTTCTATCATTGTATGTGATGCAAAAATACCCATAAAAATATTCTTTCATTTATTTAATATAATCATAGGTAAAAAATTGTCCAATGTACAGGTTGAAATGATAGGTATACCGAACGTAAATAATCATTTAAGAGTGCTCCAACAGCTTTTAAAACTTTTAATCAAATGGCAATACAACTACATTCTTGTTCAACTCTGGAAGCTATTATTCAACGTTTGATCAACTCAGGTGTTTTATAAGAGCTCTCAATTGTTTGTTGGGTACATGATTGTTACTTCGGTCATTCGGACTGCCTGACATGATTGGTGCACATTTTCTAAAGGCGGGGCCAATCTAGAGTTAAGTGCTCAACTCTGAAATCTGTGAAAGGGAATCTAGTATGATGTAGAAGAAAACGTCCAATGTAACACTCATAGATTATGTCATTGTGAAAAATCGTCCAATGTAACATGTCCGATGTACAACTTGACTAGTCAAATCGTCCTTTGTGGTTTTTTTTTCTATATTGTAGCTTGAAATTGAAAGCAAAATTGTGATTTTACCGTTTCTACTGAATTTTCAACGATATTATTCACGGACTACATTAAAAATAGTATTGTAAAATGTATTGTCTCTAAACAGTTAAAATAATAATCTGTCGAACTTCAACTTCAATTTTCAAAATGGTGGATATGTTACATTGGTCTACATGGAGGCCAAAGACTAGAAGGTCCCGAAATAACGTGCTCAACTTTTTGGCTCAGCTCTGGTACTCTCTTCGGTCCCAAGCTAATCGATTGACCCCTCGAAACATAGGAAAAACCAATAACCCCTCCTTTTATCTGTCAAACTTTCATAGCGAATCAAAACAAAAATTGCGTAGTAATAGAATTTCGACTAGAATAGGGTACGTTAATCGTTTGCTTGGGACCAATAGGCTACTAAAATGGTGAGCCAATTTAAAATCGTTAGTTTCGTATTGATTGTTGGTATAACCATAGAGGTAACTCTAAGACTAGAAGGTCGCGAAGAAACGTGTTCAAATTTTTGGCTCACCTCTGGTACTTTCTTCGGTCCCAAGCTAATCGATTCATCCCTCGAAACATAGGAAAATCCACTAACCCCTCATTTTATCTGTCAAACTTTCATAGCGAATCAAAACAAACATTGTGTAGTACTAGAATGTTGATTAGAATGGTGTACGTTAATCATTTGCTTGGGACTAATTGGCTACTCAAGTAGTGAGCCAATTTAAAATCGTTAGTTTCGTATTGATTGTTGGTATAACTTATAAATACCACAATGTATTAAATAAAGCGAAGAAATGTTTTTAATCTAAACTTACTAAAATATTGTCAGTAATGAATGCAATACTTGTAGTTCACTGGCTGTGGGAACAATAATGTTTATTTACTTTGCTTGTTTGGTACACTCAAAAATATGACTAATCTAAAATAGATTAAAATTTAATCTTTATTTTATTTAGCTTTGTTTATTCATAGCTTTGATTAAAAAGTAATCTATTCCACGTTTGTTTTATGCATGAGTATGAATAACATGTCATATTTCATGATTATGCATAAAAATTTGTTTCTCTGTTTAGCTCTTGCCAATAATCGACATAAACCGCCTCAAACAAATATTGTTTGCCATCTGAGCTTCAAGTGAAAAAAAAACTGCAGTAGGTGTTTATAAAACATTAATTAAATTAATTTATCCACAGCAAAAGATCATCGAAGGTATTAGGTACGAGTTTTTTTTTTATAGAACATTGGTCATTCATCATTGCTTTGGAGTGAATCACTGTCGCTGTGAGATTCCATGCTTTTGCCGCTGATCATGGGGATATCAAGAACAAAAAAGAGTTCCGGTGCGGGAATCGAGAAAGGTGAGAATATTCTGTGGTAAGGTGGTGAGTCTGATTCAACATGTTTAATTATTATCAGGTATTTTTGGACTTCTATCGACATCCACCAGCTGCGATCATACTGGAGGGAACCGAATTGCCGTCGCCACAAAATCGATGAAGCGAAAAATACTGAACCGGATGATCTGTGTAAAATAAAAACGTATCTTCATACGGTTCTCTCTCTCCATTTTTTTGTTTATGTTTTTCAATCATAACAAACCACATGAAACTGAAAAATAATCGGATCTGGCGAATAATCGCATAATATACATATGAGGAATACCTCAATTTTATACTATCCAATGTATTAGCCAGTTTTATACTAAGTTAGTATATTCTCTCTCTTTATACCAAGCTATGCGTCAGTAAGGAGAGTTACGATTTAGCGTAACTTTTAATCTATTTAGATTTGAAAATCCTTTGAGTGTAGATTTTAATATTTTTTGAGTGTAAATTGGGTTCTTTAGGGGTATTGAGGTAATTGGGTTGTTTAACTTCGAAAAATATACCGATTTTTGTACATTATCTGATAGAGCTTTGTTTTCTGAGCACAACGATATTTTTAACGATCCCGTAGACATTTCTCTCGTTTTTTAAATCAAGATTTAATTTTTTAATCGTTGACACTAAATCTATTCGTTGACAGGTCGCTCCCATACAAAGTCCCACCAAGGGGCGCTAAGATGGTGATTTTTGCTAATGTAATCGTACTTATTTAAAATAGTTCCAGTGTACCAAAATTGATGAAATTTTGGATTTCGGATCCATTTTTAATGAAGATAACAAATATGTATTTATCTCAACATCCCTAAACAACCCAATTGCTAGGGTAATTGCATATTCGTAATCTGCATTACAATGGAATCGAAATCCAAAATTTCATCAATTTTGGAGCACTGGAACTATTTTAAATAAGTGTGATTACATTAGCAAAAATCACCATCTTAGCACCCCTCGATGGTACTTCGTATGGGAACGAGCTGTCAGTTTGTTAGCTTTGTGAAGTGATTATTTTGCTATAAATCTTGATTTGAAAATTGAGATGGAAGTAAGTGGGATCGAAAAAAATATCGTTGTGCTCAGAAAACGACGCCCTTTCAGATGATGTATGAAAACCGACATATTTTTCAAAATTAAAGAACCCAATTACACACGCATGCCACCACCTCGGCCACCACAGAAGTCCCTCGATCGATTCGAACTTTGTGACAGATCAGCGTTACGCTGTCAAAACAAACTGTCAATTTCGCTCGAACTCACCTCGGAATGCTAAACTTTGCTCCCAAACGTCACACGTTTTGCGTCAGTGTGCATGCAATTCGATGGATGTTTTTGCTAGTGTACGTGAAATCGCTAACCCTGCCAGAACGGAAAGGCACTACCTTCAAATACCAGCCCTCACTAGCCAGAGCGAGACGACCCGCTGCGCGCCACGTAAACTAACCTGAGAAAAAGTAACCCTCGACTCGGCCTTAGTCCCGGATTATACGTCGTACAGTGTAGTACGTACAGCTTGCGAAAGCTCGTATAACCATTATTAAAGTTGAGTGAATTTTTCCTCAATCCTTCAAAACACGTGTTTCGCTGAAAGTGTAGAAAACAAGTAATCAGAATGCCGCTCGCCAAGGATTTCCTGCACCCGCTTCCGGCCGAGGAGAAGCGCAAGCACAAGCTGAAGCGCCTGGTGCCACATCCTAACTCTTACTTCATGGACGTCAAGTGCCCCGGATGCTACAAAATTACGACCGTCTTCAGCCATGCCCAGAGCGTCGTAGTATGCACCGGTTGTTCGACAATCCTGTGCCAGCCCACCGGTGGCAAGGCCCGACTCACGGAGGGATGCTCGTTCCGCAAGAAGCCCTATTAAATTTAAGGTGCCGAAGATCTGGAATCTACCGCTATTCCTTCGATTTCTGCTAGAGGATTAAGTTACTGTCAGTGCGGGGGAATTATGGCCGCAGTTTTCGCGTTCGGCTGAGAACAACGGCGAATCTGTCGCTAAGTGCAGTGCATAACGTGATTTAATTATTTGTTGATTTTTTAGTAGGATATTGTACCCGGAATCGTTGAGATCGAAAGAATAAAGGAAGATTTTGGAAAATCGGAAGGAGCTACAGAAACGTTTTGTGCTGCATTTGAGGTTATGTGCGTCATATCACAATCCATCCAATGGGGACCCCACTGCCACTGCTGGCGGAAGGAGCAGAGAGGGCGTTCCGTTTCGTCAATGTGTGTCGGTCGGCGACCAGTGTATGTGTCTGCGGAGGGTGATGGTAGTGTTGTGCATCGATTTCGAGTTTTTGTTTGGGTGGATGGATGCAGTTGGAAGCGCTGGTCGGTGATTTTCCAAGATAAATAATACGTGTTTCGATATGGAACACATTTCACAACATTGTATTTACTCGGCTGTTCTTGTGTTTTCATGTCCAATCGGGATCGAACATGAGAAAAATATTGATTTGCAGAGAGAAAAGAATGTTTATAAGCTGCAATTACGGTTTATTGACTTTAAGGGATAAGTCGGAGAACAATTTCAAATCGTTTAGATGTATTTTTATTAAAATATGAACCAGGCAACGAATCTCCTCTTAGCGATTTTCTTAGTAAGGCTTTTGTGAATTTTTATAAAACATGACCTAAGAAAACAAACTTGAAAATAACTATATTTTAACTATTTAACATGCTTCTCGTTGTTCAATAGCCAAAATTTGAATAATTTTCAATTTAGACATTTCAAATACCAAATTACCATTATTGCCTAGCAGTGTTCAGTATTTTGTTTCAGGACCGATTTCTCTACCTGCTGCTAAATCTTAAACTATATTTACCCCTATGGCCAAACCTGCTATAAAACTTAAGGACAAGTGGTGTAATCCTTCAATTTCGCATTTTCAGAAGCACTAATCCAAAAATCTAGAAGTTGTGCAGTTCTGAAAATAAACTTGGTGCATGCTTCACTGTTTCCAATTTGCCTGTGTAAAATATAATTTCTTAAAACATGAACTAGAACTCCAATGATGCATTAATAACCTGCCAAGAAAAAATAAATAGCGCGAGGATATCAAATGCCAGCTTTAAGGATGAATTCAAGAAGGAGTTAATTAAATACAATCCAAAGAACAGAGTTCTGACTCATAAATACAGAAAAAGCAGCAGACAAGGCCATAAGACTCTAAAGCCTAAAAAAGTTTAAATGACAATTAAAGGCCAACAGGTAAAATTTGAGACCTATCATGATAGCTTCACCATCAAAATTTTTCAATTTTCGCTTTCAGTGTTGGGGTATTCAAACCGATTTTTGCAACCATCTGATTTGCACGAACAGTAACATATGACCAGTGAAGAGTCTCACAATTCGCAGAACCGATAGCTCTAGCTTCTCTAATTAGCAGGGCATCCACTACCGGTAAAAACTGGGATCTTCAGAGAATTTCTTTTTGTCGGGAAAAACCTAAAATTCCCAGGGAGCTTTGAAATTCTCGCATCGTAGCATCAAGCAATTCTTCAAAATTAGAATAGAATATGGGTTGAAGTAGGTACGCCGAGGAACCTTCTAAAGAGTTTCAAATCATTTTAAAATACAATCAACTTTATTTACTTTATTTTATTTTTGCATATACTTTTTGTTACAGTCTATTAGCTTACGATACAAGATATTCAATATTCGTTTGGAAGCTACGCATGTCCACACGGCGAATGAGAACGACCCAAATTTGAGTTTACTGCCGTTGTACGGATAAGAGTCCCACGGTGCATAAGGATTGCATAGAACATGGGACAGTTATGCGTATAACGGCAGTTTAGTTCACTTATATTCGCCAAAAGTGCAGGAACTTAGCGATGAATAAATTTGCCTCGTGTTTTCCCAGGATTTTCCAGGGAAAAATACCCGAATTTGAGAAAAGTAAAGATTGGATTCACTCAGTCTATTGGTACTACTCCGAGACTGAATAAAATTTTCGTCAATTTCCTCATTTTCCGGCAGATTTTTTAGGTTTTCCACAGGAAACCACGAGACGAATTTTACTCATCGCTGAGATCCTGCACTTTTGGCGATTATGAGTGAACTAAACTCAAATTTGGGTCGTTCTCATTCGCCGTGCATAGGCCTAATAGAATGATAGGTAGAAAAAAGTGTATCCTGAAGAATAGCTGCGTGAAATACTGTTGTGAGAATATCTTGTTGATACCATGATTAATACTTGTAGAATGCTTTAAAACCTCCATAAAACTTCCATTGTTCCTTGGGTGTAGTCACGTTTTGTTTGCATTTAATATGTTTTATGTTTTCCTGTAATTATCGTAAATAATAGTTATTCAATAATAGATAATTCAGCCATACATAGGAGTAAACTCGATCATTCGGGTAAGACCCTTCATTTTTGTTTGTTTACATTTTATTTTAAACAGGATTGGAATTAAAATTGAGGATCTCGGTTAGCTTGACGGCTACCGCTTTTGCTTACTGAGTAGAAGATCGTGGGTTTATCCCCAAGCTCCTCCAAAACAAAACAATTACTCTGGTCGCATCGCCTCTTTAAGCGAATCCTGACCCATCTCCTATCCAACTCCGTAGTCGGTGAGTCACTGTCCTCCCGATAAGTAGATGTTACATCAACAATATCCTTCCTTTCCCCGTAACGGAGAAGATGGACGTGGCCGGCAATGGTAATTGTCATGCTTTTCTTATTCTGAATTCTGATTAGAGAGCTATTCATTCACAAATACTTTCCCTAATCAATTAGAATAAGAAAGTTAAAGTAGATACGTGACAGTTGCCAGTATGCGAGCAAAGTAAAACATCAAAATGACAGCAAATTGAAATCAAGTTTTGATATCAACATCAAACTGAAATCCTAATTTGATTTCAGTTTATGCAATTGACAAATTTTGTTATCATTTTGCTGTACATTTGCTCTTCAAAAATATTTTGTTGCGGGTTTGTTTTCATTGCCTTAGCATAACATCAAATTGAATACTTGTTTTGTTATCAACAGGAAAAATTGATATCAAATTGAGTTTTCAGTTTGCTCTCACTGATAGCAGAAATAGTTTTCAATGTGATGTCACACGAAGAATTTTTTGCTCTCAATTTTGATATTTTAACCGTTAAAACGACCAAAACGACAGCAACCTGAGTAATCATTATCAGCAAAATCACAACATCAAATTTAGATTTCAATTTGATCTCAGACTTTGCTCGGGCAACCATTGAACATACTAATTTTGGAATGGATTTATGGATTTATCATCAACATACATTCTGAAACAAGAATTGTTTTTTTTTATGGTGCTAAAGCATGGTTAATGTCTACAAATTTCACACATTTACATTTTTTTTTAACTTTGGACCTAATAGAAGATTTGGACAAATTTTGAAGAATCTTGAACGAAAATAAATATTCAAGACGTCGGACATTGAATATTTCCCAAGAACACAGAATTTAAAAAATAACGCAAATTTTTACAGCTTATGCACTATTATGAATGAATTTGATGTGCGTTCTTCAAGGATTCAAGGAATAATTTCAAGAGAAGAATTTTTAGGAAAACTTGGTTCATGGGTTCATGGCTTAGCAACATATTTCCCGTGAACACGGAGTCAGATGTCAGTAGTGTGCTTTGGTCAGAATTCTGACAAGGATTCCAAGGGGAGTCCTGAGAATTCCACGAAATTTATAAGGAATGGTACTTGTGAGTATAATGCCAAGAGGACAAGGAAAATCGAAACGGATTGTTTTTAATGTTTTAGTAAATATCTCGTGATGTAGGTACCGTAAAACGGGGTAACATTGATAGTTTTTAAAGTATATTCTAAATATTTTTTACAGCAATGAATGTTTTTCAAATTTTAAATTTTTAATACAAGTACTGAGAATCCAAGAGTTAATTCGTTAGTAATATGTTGAACGAAAATTAAAGCATTTGCACTATTTTTTTAGTTTTGTGACCGAACTTCAGTATTTTGATTTGGGGTTACTTTGATAATGCTCGATGAATGTAGATAAAAATGAGTGAAACTCAAACAATTTAGTTCTTTAAATATGAAACTTTGAATGAGTAGGGGAAATGCAGGTAATGTCGGCCTAAGTGTCCCTAATTCAGGCCCATACATTAATTCAGCAATCGACTAAATTTTAAATAGCAACCAAAAATATCCATTAGTAACGTCCCAATAACGCGTTCATCTAGATAAAATTGGTAAATAGCAGATTTTTAGCGATAGGCCCAATCTTAGATCCATAGGCCAACATTAGAGACATGTCCCCTATATAGAAAACTTCATAAGCAATAAGAAAAGAACATTGAATTTGTGATGGCTGTATCGGAAATACATTTCATACGTGATGGATTTCAAAAAGGTGAAAAACACGAAAATGGTTTGTCGCGCACGGACAGAACTTCCCTACGTTGTGTATTACGGATGGTTAGAAATAATAAAACACGATCGAATTACTGACCTTCCTGCCATGGCAGAGGTAGAACTACTATTATTTATTGATAATGTATAGGACACAATACAACACACAGCTGGTAGGGTAGTACCACACGTAGTGGACGTTTGCACAAACATACTCCCCCCCCGAAACCAACGGTTTTATTTCACACAAGACATAGACAACTACAACTATTCTATACATGTGGTGAATCGATTGCCGGTCACAATAGTCGTATCGTATCGATGAATCAGTGCTGTAGCGCATGCAAGATGGGTTGAAATGGTTTCTGCTGTTATCATTCTGTTGTAGATCCGATGTATTGTTCTCCCGTACAATAAGCTGATAGCACTATAAATAGTGATCACGAAAACTACGCGAGAATCTGGTAAACGCACGTTTGTTGCACTCTTTTATGACTCCTAAATAATCATTGTACAGCAAGCGGTGAAAAGCGTTTATAGCACTTTTCAATGACTCCTTAACAACCGGATAGAAGCGACTTTTATACAACGTTTATAGATACATATTTAAACTCAAGCTTTATTGTTTTGGTGAAAGCTCTAATACAACGTTTGTAGACACCTCCTAACAGCTGCTTCGAAATGTTTTAGAGAGTGAACCTGAGAGGCGTTTGTTACACTCTTTTATGACTCCTAAATAATCACTATACAGCAAGCGGT